GAGACAGTATATATATATATATATATATTTTTTTTTTTAGTTTTTTTCAAAGGAAGTTCCAAAACTCACAGTCACTCAGAGCCACTCCGCACTCCGCAACGCAGCCTCCACGTACTCTGACCCGTTGGCACCCACGCCAGGCAGCCAGGAGTCCGTTGGCCAGAGGGGCAGCCCCCAGAAGTGGGCGTCCACACCGCCCAGGGGCAGCGTCAGCGAGGTGGACCGGGGGCTGGGTGACACCCTGGAGAGCCTGGACCAGTGCTCGCTGTACACTGCTAGCGAGACCAACTTCGAGTCCAACCTGTGCGTACAGAACTTCCCCTTTGAGCTGTCGCGGGACATGCTGGAGAGGAGCGCCCAGGCCTATAGCATGCTCCAGGTGTCCTCCGGGGACACGGGCTCTGACAAAGGGACCATGAGGCAGATGGCGCTGTCCATGATCGAGTAGGTGGCCGGCGTGAGGGGCTGGGCCAGGGTCACGTTCAGGGTGGGCCGCAGGCTCAACGTCCCTTCCCTGCTCCCCTGGGAGGGGTATTTCTCGCGCCTGTGCCTTATCTTTAAGGGGTCTCAAGGGGACCTCCTCCGGTGGCTCGGTGCTGGGGGACACGCAGGAGAGAGTCCACAGGAGTGTGTCCCAGACTGGCACACGGGCGGTGGGCACCATGCAGGGGCCCCCACACGTGGACACACCCACACAGGCCCACACGCACCCACTCAGTCTGGACGAGTGGTTCTCGAATTGCGTCCTCCGGGGTGTCTCAGACCCTGTCGGGGAATCTGCGAGGTTGAAGTGATTCTCCTGATAACCCTAAATCGCACGTGGTAGTCGTGTGACTTGCGCAACAGTCCTGTGACGGTCACGTCACATTGCTTCACCTGCGCCCTGCACACGAGAGGACGCCAGCCTCCCGGGAGCTGCACTCGCTGACACCGTGGCAGGGACTGGTTATTGCGTCCTGCGCCTCCTCCAGCCTGTGACACGTCACGCTGATCCTTCCAGACACAGAAACAGGTGGCTGACCATCCACCGCCTGCTGCACCGAGGCGCTGACCCCAACCTGTGCCGCGTGCCCATGCAGGTCCTGTTCTTCCCTGTGAAGGCCGGGGACGTGGACGGGGTGAAGCTGCTGCTCGAGAACGGTGCCAGGACAGACATCCAGTTCCCCCCCGAGGTAGGGCCCAAAAGGTAGGACGCCCGAGGTAGGGCCCTGAGGTCGGCCCCCCGAGTAGGGCCCCGAGCCAGAGCCACGGGTGTGGGGAGCAAGGCAGGGGGCAGACTGCAGCCGGCCACTCGGTGTGAGGTCAGAGCGCTGGGTTTTGACCCTCACTGGTACCCCGTTTTCCTGCTCTGGCTGCGCGGGCACCCTGCCCGCCTGCAGTCACTCAGGCCCTTATTTGTGTTTAGAGTGTAGATGGTACAGACAGGCTGGTGTTACTCAGCCGTTACTCTCAGGGGCAGGTGGGTCTCACCTTATGGGCCCCCTGGCCAGGCCGTGTCTTTCCTTCTCTCCTGAGAGTAAGGTAAAGTGATCAGGAGAACAGAGTCCACATGGGGCCCAGGACAGTTCGTCATAATTTTTTAAGTTCACTAATTGGATTCCACCTTTGAAACTGGCTAAGGTTGCAGCCTTTAAACTTGGCACAGACATACTCATTCATCCACCCA